TTTGCCAAAGATTTGACTGCTGCCTTGCATTTCCTTTAGCAGTGGACAGAGATCTTTGGTTATTAACCATCAGTGAATCATCTGCTGGAGCCAGTCAGTCCTGCAGTGGCAGCGGCAGCGCCTAAGGCCCTCTCGCACGGCAAGTGGAGCACCAGCGTCCCCATCGAGCTTCTTCAGTATATGTGCATTTGTATTTATTTTTTGGTTACTCCTTTACTTTGTGTTAATTTTGGGTACTACCTAGATTATAAACTATGGTGGCTGCTCCTTGATTGGGTGACACTGCAAGGAAAAACACCTACAATGTCGTACTTTTCCATGCTGCAAATAGTTCATGTCTGTTTATCATACTACCTATGAATATGTGATTTCATTTCAGTCTATTGCCAATAAGAATACAAATTATTGTTTTCTGACAAAAGGAGAAAATGCATAATCTTCTATGCTCGTCGACTGCCCATTATTTATTTGGTACCCTTTTCCTGTCATTACTTAACAAACTAATTTTAGCTTTAGCATTAATGAGAAGTGCGTGGAGTTGAACTTAACATCCTGGATTTTTATTCGGTTGATTTAACTGTTTCAAAAATTTGGATGCAGGGATGGCCCTTTTACAGATGACCATTTTCCAAGGTTTAGCAGTGACCATTTTTAGCAGACTGATACAGTATATACATATCCAGGGATTCATCTTCGAGGCCATTCACCACTCAGCCTTTTCTGTTCATTCAAAGATTATCCTGTTGGCGTCACAAAAGGCCGTCATTGGTTTCGTAGACAGCATCAACTCTATGATGAATCTGAAAGAGGTGCCTCCTTTTTATTAATTCCATTCCAGTTGCTGCCTATCACCACACACAGCCTGGACATGCCAAGATCTTTGGCTTCTTTGCAGCCCGGGATAAGATTGAACCTTTACGCAACTATGTCTACAGACGTGGGATTGACAATTATAAAGCAGTGTCTGTGAAGCGTAATTTGTTCTTACCTAAATGCTTATTTAACATTTCAAAATACCGTACAAAAGCTGTTTTTTGTTGGACATGTGCACATTCAATCGTTATTTGCAAGTTGTGATGTCTGATAACACGTTACACAAAATTAAAACTGCGTTTAAGAAGCCTAAACATGCAGGTCACATCGTCATTGTACAGGAAACACTTGATTGTAGCTTCACTCATTCTCAAAGTAAGCTGACCTGATCAGCCTTTTGTGATCTCCCGCACTGGCACGCGGCTCGTTACATCTGTCATCGTTGTAAACCTTTTGGTCCCAAAATTTTGAATATTTATCAATATTAAATCTGAGTTCAAATAATTGCAAGATGTGTTAAATACGTTTGACCAAATTTAATCAATTGTCAGCATATAATAAAAGTCTAATTCCAAATCAGGGTAAAATCACAATTAGGCATAACAAACAGGAGCAAAATCGCATGGGCATTTATGTCTTTTTGTACAAAGTTTAACACCGTTATGGGTGGATGACGAAACAGGGGCAAACTGGTGCTTCGTGAACGGCACAGTAGGGGTAAATTCACAAATTAAAAAAAAAAATAGGGGCAAAATCACAATTTCGATATAAAACAATGGTACAAACGCAAGAGCCCTAAGAATAAAAAGTAGGCCTGAGCAAGCAACAAGATATAACATTGCTGGGTGATAACATGCCTGACATGCTTCCCATCCAAGTAGTATTCATCCTTCTTTGAAGTAACTGTCCTGCGCAAGCGTACCTCTTCTTTATCAACCTGTAGCAAAGTGTATTTTCATTCACAACCAGTAGAACAGGCAGCATGTACATTACTGTGCCAACGCAAAAGGCAACCATCAGTCCATCACACAGGTGTCGCTGAAACATGTTCAGAACTGGAGCGATGATGTCAGCTTCCATATATGAACCAGCAATGTAGGCAGAGCTGATAATTATATGAACCGCCATCATCTTCCTTCTCTCCGTCGAACAACATGTTCATTCCAAGGCCGAAACCATTGGTTAAGCGTCCTAACCTGTTGCCATAATCAGATATCAGTTGATGGCATAAGTTGGATATTAAGACAAGCTGAAAATCCCAAAGGGCAAACCGGGTGCCGAATAATACTTGTAGCTGACCAAAAGCCAATTGTGTATTTACACAGAAAATAAGCAGCAACAAAAGAACTGGCAAGGTCGGGTTGGGGATGCAGATACTTCGCTGTCAACAAAGATTATATTGGTGTTTTGACAAGAAGAATCGTGGGTTACAATATATAAGAGGGAAAGGGGGAAAAGATAGAAACCTGAATTCGAACAGATCATGGACATCCCTGACCCAAGTCGATTCCGTTCTGCGTTCAATTCAATTTTCCTCACCAACACAGAGCAACGGGAGCATAGGAGCTGAAGTCTTGATTCGATTCCAATTCCGATCCGAATCCGACTCGCTCGGCCAAAATCATGACTTGTGCCGAACGCAGCGGACTGGGCGGGCAGCGGCGCAAGAGCCGCCTGCGCATCAGCGTCGATGCTGGAGTCGGACGCGGCGACGCGGCGCGCTGCACGGAGCGCTGGGACAGCGGAGGAGGGCGCTCAGCGAGCATCCGCGCTCTGCGGCCGGCATCTGCGACGACGGCGGAGCTGCAGTGGCTGTGCGGCTTCCCAGCACGGAAGAGGCCGGCGAACGCGCCGGATGGAGCAGGGCGAGGCGGATGCAGTGGCGCTCTCGGTTTGGGCGGCGAAGGTGGTAGGGCGGTAGAACGCGGCAGCGGTAGAACGCGGCGGCCGCAGAGCTTCTGCTCGGCCATCCATGGCGGCGGCGTGCATGACGGCAGCAAGCGGCGGCTGCTTTTTTTTTCCCCTTTTTACCGGGAGACGGGACAGGAGGGAGACGGGATGGGAACGGAAACACACGGAGCGCAGCGGGAGCGAGCATCCGCACGGCCTCGAAGGCCAGTCGTCGTCCCGCGAGCGGGCCGTGCGGGGAGAGGGCGAGTGCGGGCTGAACAAGTGCGCCGCACGGTTGGGCCAAAATACAGCGGGTGGGACAATTGGGCTAGTAGAATGGGCTAGAAGAAAAACGGCCCAGACAAAAAAACTGAAATTTTGCAATTTTATTATTAGGTATAGATATAGATTATCCGTGGAGCTTTAACTGAAGTATCGAGAGAGGATAGTCTCTGTAATTGAGTACTAATCACCTATGAACTGTACAAAATTAATATTTTAATAAAAGGAAATTGTATTGGGGCGGGGAGAGGGGGTGCTCTACCCCTAGCTATTACACACTTAAGTGTACTAGCAAAATTGCCTATACGTTGCACGTAACTTCATACACCTTGGAATCAGACTTTGGTTGGATTCTAGTTGTTCTAACTCTTATGAAAAAAAAATCAAAAGATCGGACGTAGCACCACAACGAAGAAATTCCATTTCAATATTAGCAAAATGAAAAAGAGGAAAGATACGCTCGATAATTTCTATGTGATCAATCTCGAGTTCCATGCGACGTTGTTGTGTCCACACGATCTTTGTCACCATGGAGTTGCTTCAGAGTTCAAGAACATAAAGACGGCAGCCTTCATTCGTGTCACATCTTCCCATGTAGAGGAACGACCACATTCACCTAGGTTCTGCCTCACCATCGCTTGGTGCTCTGCTGCTGGATGAAGTCGAGTAGAACAAAGCAACCGCCGCCACTGACCAATTCATATGGCTAGGTTCGTAAAAGGAAACGCACGCAACAACCCAACCGGGAGTTCGGCTCCTGAATCATGTGAAACTAAAGTAACTACGACAAAAAAAGAGCATCCTCGCCTACCACAGAGCATACAAGCTCTCTTCCTCTAATCAATGTGCGTGCAACGTATCAGACGCGTACATCATAGCAAGACCGAGATTGATCACACGAGAGAGGAAGGTAGAGATAGAGATTAGGGATATGGATAGCGATAGGAATAGACTCGCCTTCCGTCCGAGCAAGCCCATGTTCATGTGCTAGCTAGCTAGGACAAATAAGACATGATTATTTAAAGAGGTAACCTAATTTTAAGAGTTCAGTGGCCGACTCCGAGTGTGACAACTCGTCAGGACACATGACCTTCTCCTCCTCCGCCTTCCAAAAACATGACAAACAAAAAGTAATAAAAAGAACAGAAGAAATGACATGGACGGCCTTCTCCTCCTCCGCCTTTCAACAACATGACAAAAAAAAAGAACAGAAGAAATGACACGGACATGAAAAAATGGACATAGAAAACAAAAAGAAAAAAACAGGCAAAGAACGAAACAAATAAACTTTCGAGTGTCGCCACATTTTTTTGGGTACTTCGTCACATTTATCAACGGACAAATCAGTGCTTCACATTGACTCCTTGTCGACTTGAATAAAAAATCAGAACTATATATTTTTATGAGAATTTAGAGGTGTTTTTTAGAATTTAAAAACTGGGTTGAAAAAACGATCCGCTCTTTACAAAATTAATATTTTAATAAAAGGAAATTGGTTTCGCTAAAGCATACTGTTAACAGGTCCCATCCCAATGACTTTTAAGTGCCCTTGCATCAGCATCAACCACAGATGATTCGACTCCTGCGCATGAAGCCTCTATCCGATGTCAATTCCGGAGGAAAACGAATGCAACTTACGTCTTCTTCGTCTGAACTTATCAGTCACTTATCTATCGCTTGAACTTATCGGTCTACTTATCAATTATGGTACAATATTTTCTCTTCTGATAAATCAGCTTCAGCCCGAAAACCATCAGACAAACAAATCCTTACTTTGACTGGCTTTAAAAATAATTGTAATAATAAAATAAAATATCCATTCGTTACTTTACATAACCGTCGAGCTCACGGCAACGCGCCAACGTACCGAACGCGGCCAAAGCTCAAGACTGGGGAGCGCTTCCAATTCCCGTCTCTCCACCGATCCCCGCTGAATATTCCATTCCATTCCACCGCGCACCGCCGAGCGCCCGAGCCACGCCAAGGGCGACGCCGGCCACCTCATCCCAATCCAAATGGCCGCGCTCGCTCCAGCCGGCGCCGCCGTGCCCGATGAGCTCGCCCCGGGACCGGGAAGAGAAGCCAATAAGCACGGGCGTGCCGGCGCCGTCCGGCGGCACCGCCAGTGCGCCGGCGCGCGCCTCCTGTCGCTCGCCGTGCAGGCGGCCGTGATGGCGGCCGCGCTCGCGATCTTCGTCCTCTTCGCCGCAGCGTCCGCCTTGCTCCTCCTCGTCCTCGTCCTCACCGCGCGCGCCTTCCACCACCACCGCGGCAGCCGCTACCGTGTCCCGTCGCTCGACCCTTCTTCCCCTTCGCCTCCGCCTCTCCGCACGGGGCTCTCGCCCGCCGACATCCGCCTCCTCCCAAGCTTCGCCTTCCCCGGCGGCGGCGACGAGGCCGCCGACTCCGCCTCGTGCGCCGTGTGCCTCCAGGCCGCGCGCGCCGGGGAGCGGTGGCGCGCCATGCCGGCATGCACGCACGCGTTCCACGCCGCCTGCGTCGACCGGTGGCTCGCCAGGACGCCCGCCTGCCCCGTCTGCCGCACCGCCGTCGCCGTCACGACGAGCTAAGGCTGACGCTCCGCGATCCTCCTGCCCACGCGTGGGCATGCAGGTTTGGTATCTCCATCGTTCGGTGCTCCACAAAAATGCTCTTTGTCCTGCTCGTGTAGTGATGACGTACCTGTTGTAGACTTTGTATGAAACTTCCTGCTGTTGTAATTTGTAAAGAGGAATGCAGGGGAAAAAAAGAATGAACCCATGAAACTTTACCATCTCAAAGAATTACTCGATGTTATTATAATTTTGCACTATTTAAATTCCAAATTTTCTTCTTGGATTGTAACGTGTTACATTACCATGCATGATACATGATGCATTAGGATTGGTGTGTTGCAACTGCAACATCTAGTCCGGGGACCAATATAATGAGGAAGGGTACTGCTCAAGGGAGATTGGATTTCGATACTTCGTGGATTATTTTGTATCCCAATGATGAGAAAGTTTGGTGCAGAAATTAGAGAAAATATTTATTTCCAACTGCTAACTGCTTTTTTGGAAATTTGGGCGTACATCATTTATGTTCTTGACCCAAATTGATTTGTGATAATGAGAAAGGGTACTGCTCAACAAAAGAATTGGATTTGATGTGATACTTCTGCTGTACAACAATTTTTGTATCCCAATGATGAGAAAGCTCGAGAATGCAGAAATTATTCCTGACCCATTTATTTCCAACTGCTAACTGCTTCTTTTTGTCGTGTTTTGGCCGTACAGCATTTATGTTCTTGACCCAAATTGATTTGTGATAATCTGGGCACCTAGTAGTATCATGCGGACTCCATCTTGAAAGCTTTTTTGCAGAACTGTCTCTGACGGAAGAGGTTATTTGAAACTTTCAGGATTTACTAAGCTAAAAATAATATCATTCATTTTCGCTAAAAAAACTAACTTCGATAATGGTCTATCGATGTTGCAGCACGGCGCACATCAAATTTTTAGGTTAGGGTGAGATAACATGAAGAAAATTTTTCAGATCACTGAAAATCATCCTCTTGTAATGCACCTTGGATGTCATTTTTTATGCTGGTCATGTTTACCGTTTAACCAGTGCAAATGGTGCAACCTCGTAGTATCATGCGGACTCCATCTTGAAAGCTTTTTTGCAGACTCTCTGACGGAAGAGGTTATTTGAAACTTTCAGGATTTACTAAGCTAACGCTCAGTTATCATTCATTTTCACTCTGAAGACTAACTTCGAAATGGTCTATCGATGTTGCAGCACGGCGCACATCGAATTTTTAGGTTATCTTCATACACAACCGTTGAGTTTGAAGCATTAACTCCCAGCTGCAGACTTCACTGCAGCTTCAGTTATCTGAACTCTGAACCCCACATCATTATCTGAAGGTTTCTGATCCAATGGTCCTACGTCTCCTACAGTCACACGACAACATGTTTTATAGTTTGTTTCGTACTCTCTCTGTCCATACAGAGAGAAAGAAATATCGTTATAGTATTTATACTAGTCAAATAAATTTATAAAAAATATTAGCAACATTTGAAGGGCTGTCCTCGCGGCACGCGGCTTCTTGGCCCACCCAGCCCAGCCCAGTCAGGTCAGCAACAGCTCGGTGGGTAGCGGCGAAAATCAGAAAATTGGCCGGAAATGGACCTGAGATCCCGGGACGTGCTTGGAACTTCGTTACAAATATTGACGGACGGACGCTTCCGTGAATTGTATGCAAAGTGTAGCCGTATCTGCCACGGCTTAACCCGTGAAAAAGTAGTTTCAGCCTATATTCAGTTGCAACAAAATCTCGTCCTATGGAACAACTTTCTGCTCAATATGCTGCGGGGATTCAGCCTGAGCAATCTGGCTTGCTTGCTAGAATGCTAGCTGCAACCGAAGATGGCAAAGCAAGCTGTCCTTCCCATGGTTGCACTCGCATTGGTTCTCGGAGCACTTGCCACCATTCCTGCAGGTCCGTACCTCAGATGGCTGCAGGCACTGAGCGGCTCGGACATCGCCGTCATCGTGGCAGAGGCGGAACCAGAACTTTTGATTAAGGAGGCCGAGCAAATATTATCACAATGTGATAAATATATCTATTTACCACCTAAAAAGCCTCTAGGGGTTTAGTCCACCACCCTGTGTTGGTGCGCGCGCCCGCGACTTTCCGAGTCTTGTACGCGCCTGCGAGTCTCCGACTACGATACGACGACTATGGCCTCCATTCGCGTGCCTTGAACCGGTTTGATCTTTTTTTTTTTATCCGAAATAGTATTTTTCTCTCACAAATTTCTCTAGCATTTCTTTAAACCATCTAAATTCCTCAAGCGAACAGACCATATACGCTTAGCTCCACAGCCACCCGGATCGTAATGTCCATGGAATCCAGGGCTCTGTTCGGCTGGTCTATAAGTTGTTTGTGCTAATTTGTACGAGCTAATTTGTTAGGAGAGAAAAGTAGTGTACCATGACTGATAAACCGATTTATAATAGTAGGCAAACAGAGCCCTGGTACTCAGTCCTGTCCTCCATTACGGCTACCGTTGACGGGTGGCGCTGGCTGACGAGGAGGGACGGATGGTGTCCGTCTATGTACGCGGTAATGCGTGCAGATACGTACGATGTATATATGACAGCTACATGGCCGTGCAATGATCTGCTGCTTAATTGCGCGGTTGCATGCACAAATCTATTCGCTAACGAGCGAGCCGTGCTGATTGCATTGTTTGCATCTTCATCAATTTGCTGGTGCTGGGTTGCTTTTCCAAACTAGCGCGTTAGTTTGATCTCTCATGACATGAACAGATAGCTGAGACGTCGGGCCGGGCCGCCGGATCGTCGGCCGAGTCTGATACGAGCGAGCCTATCGCGATCTCGATCTCCAATCTCTTCTCTATACTCATTAAAAAATATATATAGCGTCAAAGTCTACCTACTAAATCTTAATCCCCGCTCACCCATCCGTACCCGATATAAATCATTCTCCACTCAAAGAAATGTATCAAGTCCTATTCGGTTTTAATACGAAGACCAAATTCACGTATCCACGGTCGATACGAAGTAATACTCTGGAGCTCACGTGCCCGCATCCGATTACCAAGATTCAGTCTACGCACGGGATGTCGTTGGGTTTCGTCCACACGTCTTGGCGCGCCCGCCCGACCTATCTATGCCATGCGGGTCTATCTACGTCTACTATACGAAAGAATACGGAAGATCAGAAAAATACGGAAGCTCACTCCATCATGGAGCCCGCAGTCCCGCACGGCCGTGCTTTCGTTCGTGAGTTTTTTTGTTTGTCTTTCTTTTCATTTTTTTTCTTTAACACATACTTTGTAATCCGTATAATATATGTATACTTGTCTTTTTTTTTCTTTTAACGTACTCCTAATAATATATGTACAAATGCATATATTATATATAAATAATTAAATATATAGACAGAGGGACATATGTAGATTTGGCATGAGTACAACTTGTTAATCTACCCTTAGTGTATCCTTAGTATATCACACATGATCTTTCTTAAAAGAAGGAATGTTGCATAGTGTACTTCCTAATTAAGACACGATGCATGCAATCATACAGAGATCCGAGGGCTGAGGCTGACAACAAACAGTAGCGCATCTCAATTGGTAATTTGATGCCAGATATGTGGGCCAACAGCGTGTCTAAAACTCATAACATCATTTTTTCAGATTTTTTTTTTAAATCACATAACATCACTTTTTTTTTGAAACAGAAGGAGTATTTAACATCTAATGCGACCTGGTTAATTTAAACAATATGGTACTTATTTATATACACCTAAAAATAGGAAAGGCTTTCATCCAATGCATCTTTGCCCACGCGGCTGTCCGACACTCGATCGGCTCCATCTTGATTTCCTCCTTCCTGTGAAATACGGAAACAGAGTATGGAAACAGGAAAAAAAACGACATCGATCTCCACTAGAATATGGAAACAGAAAAAAAAATGTATCATCACCCCATGATACCAAGTCTCGAGATTCTTGCTCACGCATCCGCATCCGATACGAATTATCCTCTCCTTGGAGCTTATGTGTCCATGTCCTATCTGGTTCTGATACGAAGAACGGATCCATGTGTCTACATCCGATACAATTTTTATTGTTTTCTGCAGATCCATCACCGTAGGTGTCAATGAAAAAATCTATGCTCCCAGTGCAACGCACGGGCATGTATCTAGTACATCAAATATATATCTCAATAGTTTTTCTAATACTTATAAACATATAGTTAGTGTCGGCGTTTCGAATCACCGGCTAATAAATTTCTAGTTTACGCGTCTGACTCAGATGGCTGTGCTTGGAGGACACAAGGATTTATACTGGTTCGGGCGGAACGTCTCTACGTCCAGTCTGCTGCTGCTCGTGTTACCGGCACTTGGTTTGTAGTAGGGGTTACAAACAGACGAGAGAGGGAGAAGGTCCCAAGTCTCTGGTGAAAAGAGTGAGTTTGGTTGAGCTCTCACTCTACTATCGAGCGCCTAAGCCTTCAGCCGCTCAGACGTGTTAGATGTGTGGGAATACCCCCCACCGTGGGGCGCCCTGTTTCCCCTTTTATAGATGAAGGAGAAGAAGCAGGTTACATGAGAGAGAGACGAAGAGAGGAAGGCTTCCGGGATAGCGACGTCTTCCATCTCCTTTACGCAGGTCCCGCTAGCCCTATAGATGATGACGGGGACGGCTTCACGTCGTGGCCCTATTCGTCACTAGCGCCGTACGCGGGCGTCGTCAGCTAGTCGTGGCGTTCCATTTCGTTCTAGCGGACGGTATGGCTCGCTGATTCCTCCGCTGGAGGCCATATAGGGAGTAAGTAGCACAGCGTCGGCACGTCTGATGCTGTTGGCGACATGCGTCCTCAGACGTGGCCCGTAGTGGCCGCAAATCACGTCTAGATGCGCCTGCTCCCCTTCTGACGTCAGAAGTTTGACCTTGGACTTGTACTTTTAGACCCGTAGTGGTTAGGGGCGGTACGGACCTCCGTCGAGCGAGGCGAAGCCTGTGCCCTCGGGGTCGGGCGAGGCGAAGCCCGCG